ATATATATTCTCACATAATCTCTTGATCTAAAAATCAAAATCAAAACATCACTTTCTTGCACCCATTTGTAAACCTTTGAGAGTATTGTTTTTATTGTGTGTTAAAACTTAGTTTAAGAGGCAATCATTTACATTCTTTTTCAAACATCTTGTGGGCAAAATCTTGTAAATCTAGAGGTGAAATCCTGTCAAACTATTGTAAGAGGCGAAATTCTGTCAAATTAGTTTAAAGGGCAGAATTTGATTCTAATAGAACTTGAAAGAGGTTGTCTTGAAGAAGTGGATGTAAGAGACTTGTGGATATATCTTTGAACCACTATAAATCTATGAACATTTCTTCTCTCTCAACTCATTTATTATTCCTTGTATATTTACTTGAACCATCGTTATCATTTGCACTCATTCATTGCTCATATTTATATTTCTCTTTCATTTATTGCTCAACATTGTTTATCCTTATTGTTCAACATCATTCTTATTTATTGCTTATCTTTGTTGTTGTTTTAAGTTCATAACTTGTTTGAGTTGGTGAAAGTTTTTATCCCGCAAACATTTTTATAGATTTCTATTCAACCCCCCTCTAGGAATATTTGCCACATAGGGTTTTACAAATTCTAGTTATAAAAAGGGCTTGAGTTTTTTTTTCTTTTTCTTTTTCTTCTAGCAACAATTAAGTGGTTTTGGAAGCCAAGTCATTGTCTATTGATATGAAAATTTATGGGAAGAATGGTTTGAATTGTTTCTCAAATTGTGATGAGCTTGTGGAAATGAAGAAAGCAAGAGACTAAATCTGTTGAAATTGATTTTTCTCATAATTCTGATTCTAGGTATTTTAGAAATGGACCCAAGAAGGTTGAATAGATGCTTCTATTGATGGGTTTATCAAGAATGATGAATTCAAGAAGTCTAAAGAGGAATACGAATCCCAATTTGAGGACTGTGGAGTAAAATTTGGGAAAAGTTCTAACAAGAGAATTGAGTTTGGGAACGATTTGACGGGAACGATTTGACCAAAGAGGAAGCTTTCAATCTCAAGTTCGAACTCGAGCTCTAGCTCATGCTCAAGCTCGAGTAGGCTGTAATTGAGCCAAGCTTGAACCCCATATCTCTGTCGAGCTCGGGCTCAATATTTGAAGCTCAGTCAAGCTCGAGCTACGACTATACTAGTTGAGCTGAGCTCAAGCTTCCAATACTCAACTCGGCTTAGCTCAATTACACCCTTAGGAGCCATCCTCTGGTTCGGCCCCTGAGATCACCTTATGACAATCCCAAGGTGTCGATGAACACGCCGTCGATTGGCCACAATAGTTAGTTGTTGGCAGTAATTTCACCAACCATATTTTTATTATTTTTTAAATTTTAAATTAAAAAAAAAAACCCCATTTTAGTCAATTTACACCAACCAAATTTATTTTTGTAAAAGCAAAAGTAATTTTAACATTAATCAAAACAAATACCTTACAGATTCTATTTAAAATTTGATCATTTCTAGATTTAACTGATAAGTGATTATAGAAAAAAAAAACTTATTAACAATCCTAAACTAAATCTAAATGTATACTTAATACTTGAATATTTCTCAATACACCCGACGCCCAGTAGAGACATTCAGATTGAGCTTGGTCCAAATGCGGCCGACCACTGACCACTATTCATTTTTTTTTTGGTCCCAATGCGACGACAGAATCATTCTACCAAGAAAAAAAATTAACAATTAATATAAATTAAAAATAGAACATTTGATTAAGATTAAAGAATCTTATCATAATAAACCTCTCATGAGGTTCATGAAATATCTTAACCCCAAAGATTTGAGAAATTAAACAATCCCCCTTTTGTTTTTGGAAAAACCATCCCTAATAAAATTTTTCCTTAATAACAACAACAACAGCACCAATGATAATAATCATATAACTGTATGACATACAAACCGATTGATGACAAGTGTAAAGATATCAACGATACATTTTCGCTCTCACTTTTTTACATTAAAGTTTAAGATCTTTCAATTTTGTAGTCAGTATACTATTTTTCATTATATGTTTTTGTTGATTCATTTAAATAAAATGATGCATATGTGATGTTGTCTACAATTAAAATGATATTCAATGGTAATGTTGTGACGATGACATGTGAATAGTGATGAGTATTTGATATTATAATTAGGATGCATTTGGTTCAGGAAATTTTGTATTATTAAGAATATTATATTAATGAGAAGATAGATTATCTTGAAGATTACTAGAAATGATACAGTAAATGTGTTTGGTTAGATTAGAATAAATTGGTAAATATGTTATATATATTACTAAATTGTCATTTTTTCTTTTAATATTATTATATAGATTATTTTTAACCCCCTACATTTGAGATTTTGCTAAAACACCCCAACCATAAAAAAATTTAAAAGTTAACAAAATACCCCCAACCACCCAAGACCACCTTTGGCCGCCGGCGTCAGTCACCGTAATGGCTTACGAATGGCGGGATCTGACTAGTAAGGCCTTTTCCAAATCCATGGCTGGAAATGACCATATTTGGTCGTGAAATGGTCGTCGTTTCACGACCATGGATTTGTGATCCATGGCCAGAAATGGCTTTTTTGGCACACGACCGACTATATACTGCCAGTCGTGCACCATTCCGTTAACTGTTGGTGGCAGCCGATGGTGATGGATGGCTGGTTGTCGATAGTAGCTTAGGGTGGGTGGGGGTGATTTTGCTATAAATTAAAGTTTTATATGGCTGGAGTGTTTTAGCAAAATTTCAAATGTAGGGGGTTAAAAAATAATTCAAAAAAACAATAATAAAAATAATAATATATTAATATTCAACAAGGAGGGCAATTTAATAATCTATATAACATACCCACTAATTTATTCTCTCAACCGTATATATTACTTACCAATTTATTCGCACCAACCAAACATATTTCCTATATATTCATAATGATCTTTAAAGTAATATATCTTTCTATTAATATAACATCTCCTATAATAAAGTATTATATGATCCAAACACACTCTTAGAGGCAAAATTATAACAAAATTAAGATTACCAAGTAATCTTATAATACATAAGAAAATTGTGATATTCAGATTATCGCCTATATAATCAACAATAATTACTGTTGATTTTGGAAGATTACCGAAATCTTTTATTACTTGACAACCAAACATGGTAATGTGAGTAATATAAGATGATATTACCAGAGTAATCCCAAGTAACCCCTAACCAAACACACCCTTATAGTTTCTTTTAAAAATGGGAGAATGACAATTACAGCCCCTAAAACTCAAAAAACTCCTTTGTATCCCATAACTCCTGAAACTACCAAGAACAACCTCTATTGTTAGTTTTTTCCCGTTAAAATGGATGGGACAAAGGGCAGGATTGATTTTTTAAGTTAAACATGCCTTTTGAATAAATTAATACATAAAAGGTTCGAACCTAGACCTCTAAGTGCAAAATTAAACTAATACACCAGTTTATTAAATATTTAACAACATAATATTATAAGATTTAAGCCATAATAAAATAGGAATAAGGGTATCAAATTTAATATATTTTCAACTTCTTTGAAATTATATAATATTTAATGTCAATTTTAATATATTTAAACTAATATAAGATATACTAAATTTTATATTTAATAATATTGAATTTTATATTTAATAATATTGAAAAATATTAAATTTAATATATGTAAAGTTCCTATAAAATTTAATATATTTAAAATTCCAATAAAAATATTTTATAAAAAAAATATTATATACTTAATTTTGAAAGTTATCAAATACAAAATAACAAAACTTAAAAATAAAAAAATCTGGCTACGTGAGATCTCGGTTTATGATCACTTTCTTTTTCTAATTTTACATTTTCTTTTTCTGTTTTTATCTTATGTTAAAATTTTCTCCCAGCTCTTCTAAAAAAAACAAGAAAAACAAAAATTCATTGGAGGTTGAACCATATCATTTTTTTTTAATTTGTTTTTTAATGTAAAGTATAACAAAGGACGAAGTAAGAAAAAGGCAAAAAAAAAAAAAAACCAGCATTTTTTTATTTTTTATTTTTTATGCTCAAGACTCTTGGAATATTGTGTCAGACCCTTATGGACTAATGTATTATGCTTGAATCGAACTTGGGTTTGGGTGGTGGAGGAACTTGCATGATATAATGACTGCGTGTATTATTATGCACAATATGATAATCGAGGATGATCGTAATATTGATGCATCGATTGAGAATCAAATGGAAGCGCTAACTCCCGAAGTTGAAATTGTCGTAAATGAAAATGTCCGATTTCAAAATTTTTTTGCTCGACATAAACAAATCAATGATACAGAGGTTCACCGTGCTCTTCGAAATGCATGAATTGATCATTTGTGGGAAGAATATACTAATTCGGAAAATTAAATTACTATAACTATGGAATTTTACTTTTGTGTTGTTGTTGTCTTTTTTTATTTTTGTAATATTTGTCTATATTAAGTATAATGTTTATTTGATTAAATAAATGCTTAATTTTATTAAATTAGTATAATTTCCAAAGTAATTATTATTTAACAAAAATATCATTCCTAATATTTAATTAATATATACAAAAATAATAAGTGAAATAGATTAATTGTTGATTATTATAATAAAAGAAAAAGAAAGAGAATATTCTATTCCTTGGTGTAATATTTGGTGCAATGAGTTGAAGATGCAATAGTGTTTCACACAGAAAAATCACATCAATTTGGTGTAATGGGTTGGAGATGGTCTTAGTCAATATTATGTAAATAGAAACTTTTTCATACATCGACGCACATATAAATTATAATCAATAGCCTATCTTAAATTATTCCTCAAACATGTGTGGGTTTACAAAGTTTCCCTTGAATAATGCACTGTATGAAACTTGTTGGCTGCGAATATTTTTCTTGGAACCTCAGGTGGTGAACTGTATTGACATGCATCATATATATTTAACCACCTGTTGGGGTTGATTTTTATTTTATTTTATTTTTTTAATCTCTTGACGGTTATTTAGGGAATTGATTATTTGAAATACAATAACTATCATAACAATAGAGTGAGCCTACAAGAAAGGTATACCTAAAGAAACTCTGACATATGCATGATACATTAAACTGCTTCCCTGGTCTGGTCAAGTTTTATTTACATATACAATTACTATTGGGGTGTTAGTGACAAATATTCCAAAATGGGCAAAGCTCTCCTAAACACTGGAAGACCCATATTTTACTCTCTTTGTGAATGGTATTCTTTTTTCTATTTTCATTCTTGAATATTAGTCATATTTTTTAAACCAAGTAAGAATGTGTTTTACTATAGGCCAAGCATATACATAACATAGAAGGAATAAAATTGGTGCATATGCCAGGGCCAGGAAGACTCTGCAACATGGGCACCTAACATTGGAAACAGTTGGAGAACAACTGGAGATATCAAAGATACTTGAGATATGTAGTTTTCTTTTATTCTTCCAAAATCAAAGAGCGTAGTTAAAACATGAAAATTGATGATTCTGCTTCTGCAGTATGACATTGCATGCTGATCAGAATGACCAATGGGCATCTTATGCTGGACCGGGTGGATGGAATGCTTAGAGCCAACTATATATGCATGTCAATCTACTATATATTACCAACTCATGATTTTTTACTTTGTTGTTGAATCTTTAGACCCTGACATGCTTGAGGTGGGCAACAGAGGACTGTCAACAGAAGAATACCACTCCCACTTCAGCATTTGGGCTTTAGCAAAGGTGCTTGATTGATCATATTTAAGGACAATTCACATACACTTGGTGTTGACCCTGCTCTAAATGGCTATATACTTTTTGTCAATGATTCCGTAGGCTCCCTTTATCCTTGGGTGCGATATTTGTTCCATGGACGAGGACACATTGGAGGTGATTACCAACAAGGAGGTCATTTCTGTTAACCAAGGTTAGTCTTTTGATCACCATATATCATATGTTTAAATTTATTCTATTTATTCTGATCACGTAACATTGTAACAGATAAACTTGGAGTTCAAGGAGAGAAGGTGAAGAAGACTGGAGATTTGGAGGTAATTAAGCATGATTATCTTATAACAATGTTTGCAACTGATTTATAGTTCGTTATATTAATAAATGCTCCTAAGTTTCCAGGTCTGGGCTGTTCCTCTACGTGGCAATAAGATAGCAGTAATATTGTGGAACAGAGGATCTTCCAAAGCCACCATAAGAGCTGACTGGAGTGACATTGACCTCAAATCATCAGCAGTGGTTGATGCTCAAGATTTATGGGCGGCCTGACTCAATAAACTTCATTATTTTTTTTTTTTTATCAATTTTGTCACCAACACATCCATGCATTAGACCCTAATTAATTGCGTGTGTTTTGATTTGATTTTGCAGCATTCAACTACTCACTCTATTAAGAATAAATTTGAGGCAAGCCAAAAAAATAACAACCTGCATATTTTCGCTAGAAGCTAATAAGTGTGACTCTGTTTTGTTTGTGCACTGTGATTTGTTTTTGTTTATACGGATATTGTTATTGATTCAAGTTGTGTTATGTGGTTAATGATGGTGCAGGTGCAGCACAGCTTTGTGGGTTTCTTGATGCAAAGAAAATAAGGTCAAGTTTGATTTTTAATATTTAGTTTATTTTGTGTATTCAATAACTTCATGGTGTATCTACTCGAATTTATGGGACTCTTTGAAATGATATCATTATTGTTGGTTTTTAATATATTTGAGTTCACTTCTCTTTCAAAAGTTCTATATACTATTTATACTTATTTCTCTTTAAAATGGTTTGACTCCAAGTTATATATGGTGCTAATGTTTAACTAGGGAAGAGTTTAATAGATTGACTGTTAAGACTCCCTGCAACAATAACCAGCAAACAACACAAACAACCCAGAAAAACAGATAAATGGGTTCACTCAATCAAGATTCAACCAGAGTATATTTCTAGAGAATGGAAATAGAAACAACTACACAATTGGGAACCAACACAGATAGATCCCAACAATTCGAGGAGTGTTAGAGTAGATGCCCTAGAGTCAATCAATTATTATGGAATTGACTCTTTGTAATAATGTTCATTAATCAATAATAAAAGGCATTTCATTCTATATCGCGTAAATCATTATTATTGCAATATGTATTGATNTAGATTGACACATATTATTAAGTCAAGAGTTGTAGATAGCACCATCTTTGGAGATGCAGAGGATGCAAGATTAAGTGATCTGTTCAATAGAACAGCTGTCAATGGTATTGCTTTCTTACAAACACAAGAAAATATTAAAAATTGAATTGATTGCTGCTATAATTATATTGCAGATGTCGACATGCCAGATCTTTGGAGTGCAGCTGTTTCAGAGGCAAAAAAGTGGTTAGAGGAGAAGAAATTGGGTTCAAATTCAAAGTGTGTTTGTGGGAATCTGAAAAAAATTTCTTCAATGCATAATGACATTTGCTACCATGAACTCAAATTGTATGATCTGATTACTGTAGATGTTCTTAATGACACCTATATATCTATCATCTCTGGATAATTCATTGAACTTCATTCTGATGCTTTATTTGATATTTTACATTGTCCATAGGCAATAGTTAGAATTGCAGATGAAGATGGAAATTATTTACAGGAAGCATGGGAGCATATTTTGACGTGTGTCCAGGTTTGAGCACAATGTTCAGGTAATTACTCATCATCATTAATTAATTATAACATAAAATATCTTTCGTTAGGTGTGCTGGGAGAAATTTGCAAGTTACTTTGAGGTGGAGCTGAAGGAGGTGAAGCTAAGAGATGGATACTATGTAATGGACCCTCAAAAAGAATTTGAAATGGTAGATGAGAACACTATTTGTGTTGCTGCTATTCTTGGTTCCACTCTCAATGGAGAATTTGAATATGTTAAGTTTTTGAATGATCTCTTGACTGAGAAGAACAAACAAACTGGGTAATTATTTATTATTAATATGCCAATTTACAATTATTCATTACCTAATTTTACAAACTAATTTGTATATTGTTTTTGTAGATGGGACACTGCAATCCATGTTGATGCTGCAAGCGGTGGGTTTATTGCTCCATTCCTTTACCCGGAGCTTGAGTAGGATTTCCCGTTGCCTTTGGTGAATAGTATACCATTGCTTTTCCAAGTTAACTTTTATGTTTGGTGGATTCTCATTGTTTGCTATCATCTGATGCTTTATATAACATTATTTAAGTTACTTTTCATGTTTGCTGTCTTAGACTACGATTTCTCATTTTAACATTACTGTAATTTGATTCCCATAGTGCTATGTAATTATGGACTCTGATTTGGATAATCTTTTTTTTTTTTCCTGGAATATAAGTGTTTGTTACTTACAAATTAAAACATAACGATATTTGTGATGATGGAACTGTTTGTCTAGATTTTTGAACTTGGAGCCTTCAAATGGACCAAAAATGGTTACATGAAAATTAGTTACTGAACTTGGAAATTGTTGTAACATTAAGGGGATGTTTGGATCATATAATGTTTTATTATAAGGAAATGTCATATTAATGAAAAGATAGATTACTTTGAGGGGGCGTTTAGTTCAGGAATGTTAGATTACTGGAAATATTGGATTACTGGAAAGATAGATTACTTTGGAAGATTACTGGGAATCTGTAGAAAAATATGTTTGGTTAGTTGGTGGGTATGTTATATTAATGTTTTTGGTTATGGGGAATAAATTGGTGAGTATGTTATTTAAATTACTAAATTGTCCCTTTTTTAAATACTAATATAATATTATTTTTATTATTAATTTTTGAATAATTTCTTTTAACCCCTAATATTTCAGATTTAGCTAAAACATCTCCGCTTATATAAAATTTTAATTTATGACGAAATCACCCCCACCTCCTGCTGCTGCCTGTTGCCACCGCAAACCATTGTCGAAAGTCTCCGCAAACCATATTGATGGCCGAAAACGACCATATCAGGCCAGATCTGGACGAGATCTAGCTGTTAACGGCCATGGACCTGGCCATTAGCGGCCAGATCTATTCCAGCCAGAATAGATCTGGCCGCTAACGGCTAAATCTCGTCTAAATCTGACCGATAATGGCTAGGAATATGGCCGTTAACGGCCATGGACCTAGCCGTTAGCGGCCATATCAAAGCCTCCCGGAACCTCCTATGGAATATCGTTCTTTTTTAGGGACTCCGATGATTTTTCGACAACGGTCTGTGGTGGTTGACCCGCTATCAGCGGTGGTGGCTGGGTGGCAGTGGTGGTGTTTGTTGGGTGGCAGTGGTGGTCTGTAAATTATTTTAAATATAAGGGCATTATTGTCTAAAATTTTAATTAAACAAGGGTAAATTTGAAATAGGATATTAATGTAAATTTGTTTTAAAGTAGGGGTATTATTGTCCAAAATTTTTATTAATAAAGGACAAAACTGTAACAAAAAAAAAAGATAATCTTAGTAATCTCAGAATACCTAAGAAAATGGAGGTAATCAGATTACCTCCGATATTACCAATAGTAACCACTATTGGTATTTGAAGATTACCGGTATCTTATATTATTTGACAATCAAACATGGTAATCAGGTAATATAAGATGACATAACTCTAGTAATCCCACATAACCCCCAACCAAACGCCCCCTGAAGATTATTGAAAATGTTTAGGAAATGTGTTTAGTAAATTGGTGAGTATATTATATTGATATGTTTGGTTAGGAAGATAAATTGGTTGGTATGTTATATAAATTATTAAATTGTCCTTCATTTTAAATATTAATATAATATTATTTTTATTATTATTTTTTGAATCATTTGTTTAACCTCCTACATTTGAAATTTTACTAAAACACCCCAGCCATATAAAACTTTATTTTGTAACAAAATCACTCTTACCCACCCTAAGCCACCGCCAGCCATCTCGAGAAGTGACCATAATGGCTCACGACAGCCCAGATCTGGCCAGCTGTGCGTCGATGAGGCCGTTTTCAGCCATGGATCACTAAAAATGGCCAGATCTGGTCGTGAAGCCAGATCTGGCCGTTTGACGGCCACAGATTTGGCCATTTGACGGCCACAGATTTGGCTTTTTGACGAGTCCACAACCACGTTTTTGGCTGTGAAACAGCTGAAAGATAGATGCATGGAGAATCAAGCATATCATACTATAACAAGTATAGTCATAGTTTCAAAAATAAATTTCAATCAAATTGAAATAAGTAAGGTAGAACATATTACCTTAAGCCCTTAGCAACCTTGGAGACTCTTAATTTCAAGAGAAATTAAGCAAAAAAGTATCCACACCAAGGGAAGAAGAAATTTGACCAAGAGAAAGATTTAGGGTTCCTAGAGATTTTGATCTCTTCCCAAAAATTGATATATCATTTTCTTTATATAGGAATCCTTGTAAACAATTTAATAATTATTTTGGACTTCCTTAAACAATTCCATAATTGTTATGAAGTTGTTAAACTTCTTTAAATGATAACATTGGATTAACATTTAATCACAATTAGCAATTTAACTCTTAAATTGTTTACATAACAATTTCACCTTTAATTGTTTATAATTACAACCCCTTATAAAATCCAATTTAATATAAAGAAAATGATTAATATAAATAACTTTATTATCTTTGGTAGGTGCTAGCCAACCTTGAATAATCAACTCTCTTTGGCTATTTCTTCATTCTCCTTAGTTTTTATGTGTGACCTCTTAAGTTCACTATGGCCTAGCCGTGGACCTAATATCACAGTTTATTTCGATATGTTTTGTCATAACTCTTTATGAATAAAACTCCTACTGATTATGATAGACATCTAGCAATGCTTCATAACCCCTAAGTCACAATGAAGATATATCCAACAAACCTTTTACAATCATATACGTTGTATAATCAAATCCTTCCGTTGTCTAATCCCAATTAAGAATGGATTCATGGTATGTCAAAATCCTTATCTTAATTTTAATTCAATAAATATGGAACGTGTCACCATGAAACAACTTTTCATGTAACATTTTATATACCCCGGCCAGAGATTTCCCTTTTCCAATGTATCTTGACATTTGTCTAAGAACTTGATATCAATCTATACCAAGTCAACGGATCTCATCTTGACTATCACTTGTCCTCACACATAAACAAAACATGACCAAATCGGCTTATTAACACATGGCATGATTAGCATCATGTTTATCCACCATATGAACCATATGCGTTTATGCAGAATCCAACCGTGATTTCTCAGGTTTAAGGATTAATAATACACTAGTACGATCTTATGATAAATTATTGACTACATTTTAAATGTCCATATGATTCATCATAAATGGTCATATTCGATAAACAGTTCACTAACCGCGTATCCATGCTAATGCCCTAGTGATATAACTTTTATAATCACTCACACCAATACCATCACATGATATTCTACGGAGGCATTCAGCATGCCTACTATATAATATTATTGCCCAACTAATATTACCTATGTAAGGAATACTTTGATGATTTTGATCTTCTAAAGATTTGTATCATCCGGACATTTCACATGTAATACATATATATAAATGAAGCAATAAACCACATGTGAAATAAGAACACTTTCTTCTATTGATAAGATAAAATGTATATACAAACTATATACATTCACATATATATACAAAACATAATGCCTCAGAACCGATGACACGATTGGTTCCTAGGGCATACACTAACCACAGTTACATCTGGCTTAGATCCTGGCCGAAAACAGCCACACTGGCACCAGCCGCTTCTAAGTGTATGGCTACTACACGACAGTGGACAGGCAGCCGCCGACTACAGTGGCCAGATCCGGCCACCACCCTTGGGTATTATATTAAAATCCAAGGGTGTTTTGTAATTATTAAAACAAAGGATAATTTCTTCCATATGTTAAACTGTTTAGGGTATAATTGAACAAAAGGTTTTAATGGGGGAAAGTTTTAAGAACACCCTCCCCTTAGGTATTCTAATACCCCCCCCCAAACATATAGTTTGTATAACATTTTATCTTATCATAGAAATGGTTCTTATTTCACATGTGGTTTATTGCTTCATTTTATATACAAAACATAATGCCTTGGAACCGACAGCACGATTGGTTCCTAGGGCATACACTAACAACAGTTACATCTGGCTTAGATCCTGGCCGAAAACAGCCTCACTGGCACCAGCCGCTTCTAATGTTGTATGGCTACTACCGACAGTGGAGACAGCAGCCGCCGACTGCAGTGGTGGCCAGACCGGCCACCACCCTGGTAATTATATTAAATCCAAGGGTGTTTTGTAATTATTAATAAAACAAAGGATAATTTTTTACATATGTTACTGTTTAGGGGTTAATTGGAAACAAAAGTTTTAATGGGGAAAGTTTTAAAACACCCTCCCCTTAGGTATTCTAATACAACCCCAACCTGCCGCACACAAACCCCCCCCCCCCCCCCCCCCCCCCCCCCCCCAACAACACACACACACACACACACACACACACACACACACACACACACACAACAATTTACCCTCCAAAAGTATTATGGGTCATTTGGATCAAGGGTGTATAAGATAACGGGGATAATCTTCGTTTATTTGGCAAGATTTCGGTATTTGGTTTGCAAGTAATAAAATATTATGGTAATCTTTTATTGCAAATAGTGTTTAATGTTGGTAATGTGGGGGGAGGGGGGTAATCTTATTACCTTGTTATGGGGTGTTATTAAAACATTATCGGAGTAATATGTTTTTCTACCAATTTTGCCCTTAATTAAAAACCATTTCGGATACAATTGCCCTTAAATGTCTACCAACTAACAGTTACCCAACCCCCCAGTAGTTGAGAAATTAGCTAAAACACCCTAGCCACAAAAAGTTTAAAAGTTAACAAAATACCCCCAACCACCCAAGACCACCGTCAGCCGTGACTCACCACCGTCAGTGTCAATCGCCATAATGGTGCATGACCAGCAGGATCTGGCCAGTCGTGTGTCGATAAGGATTTTTCCAGCCATGGATCACATCTTTGGCCGTGAAATGGCCATAGATCTGACCATTTTTCGACCATGTATTTGTGATCCATGGCCATTTCCAGCTTTGTCGGCGCACGACTGGCCATATACGGCCAGGCGTGTGCCATTCCGTCAACCGTCGACGACTGCCAGCGGTGGTGGCTGGTTGCCAGCAGTGGCTTGGAATGGGTGTGGATGATTTTGCTACAAATTAAAGTTTTATATGGTTGTAGTGTTTTAGCAAAATTTCAAATGTAGGGGGTTAAAATTATTCAAAAATAATAATAAAAAATACTATTATATTAATATTTAAAAATGAGGGCAATTTA